TCTCTCTCTCTCTCTCTCTCTCTCTCTCTCCGTCTGAAACTGCAGCACAGCTTTTATAGGTTGTGACTTGTTTGTCTTCTTGCTTTGTATTATTTTTTTATTTTTTCATAATGACTTTTAAAAAGGAGCCAGGCTTTAAGCCCTCCAGGAGCATTCAAAAGGTCTGTCCCCTGCTCTGGACCTGGGGAAGCTGCAAGCAAGTTCTGGTTATTTTTTCCTGAGGGTAGAATGGAAAGGTAAGCAGAAGAAGGCATATCTAGATGCTTAGGTGAGAACTCGTTGTCCTGTGGGGCTGCAGAAAGCGACCAGGGCTGCGCTGCTGGAGGGCAGAGATCTCAGTGAGCAGGTCTGTGAGAGGCTCAGCAGCTGGACGGCCAAAACAGGGTGGGGGTAGGGAGAGGGTGGCCCATCATGGGAGAGAGTGAGGTCTGCGGCTTTGGTGATGGAAGCTTCATGCGGATGTAGGAAGCCAAGGCCTTGGTAGGTGGAAGGGTGTGGGAGGAGTTCTTGCTTAGAAACTTAATGCTTGTAGCAGATGAACCATAAAGAACGAAAGATTCTTCCCTGGAAGATAAAGTACATTTCGTCCTTCCATCCCGAAGACTTCATAGAGATGGAGAGTTATAAATAGCTCCATCTGATCCACACCCACCATCCTATGTAACCAAGAGCAGCTTTTGCCCACCAGGTCTTTACAGCTACCTACTTGTCTCTCTTAACCAGCACAACTCCCACTCAATTCCCAGGTCCTGAGAAGTTGATCTCTTCTGTCTCTCTGCCCCTTACTCTAGAATCCAAGTGGATCCCAGGTGACCTCCCTGTTCTTCCTTTGGGTCAGCTGAGCAAAGCTAGATCTGGAACAGGACAATCATGTAAGTGACTGTCCAAACTGCTATACTGTTGAAAGAGAAGAAGCTGCTAATTGGGTGGCATGCTGGAACAAGAGGGTTAAACTGTTACAGCAAAGCCAGGACGCTGACCTTCTAGAAAAGAAGCTCTGAGGGAGCTGTTGGCTTCGGTTATTCAGGAAGTCGGAGGTTAGAGAGGTTTTCCACTGGTCTGGGCCTGCCCACTTGCCCTGACATTGAGGCTGATCTGGGTCTCATGGCACTAGAGAACTATGTGAGAACACGGGGCTGGGACAGCAGCAAACTCCACAAAGGACAACAATGCAGTGGGAAAGCGTGCTTGAGACTGAAGAGTCCTACAATGAATCCCATCTCTGGAAAAATACCTAGGGTGCACATGTTCTCAGCATCCTGCAGGGCAGACAGAGCTGAACTTTCCTCAGGTAGCAGCCCAAGAGAGAAAGCAAGGTGCCAGCTTCACAGATTTTTCAATTAGGAGAGGAAAGGGGGCACCCGAATTGTCATGTCATGATGGAAGCTTCCTGGACAAAGGAGGGATTCTAGTCCCTGTCACCTGCCTGGGGGAAGAACTTTCCTATCAGCACCAGAATCTAAGGGCATTGCTGAACTAGTGAACTTAGGGAGTGGGATGCTCTGGGGCTGCTGACAGCATCAAAAGACAAAGATTTTTGTTCCCATCTTAATAAAGCAATGGGGGACTAAAGTGGGAGAGACGAAAGCAAAAGAAATTTGGATCTAGAGAAAGTGAGGTAGAAGCAAAGGATCCTAGCAGGTGTTGATTTTCCTATTTCCTGCCCTGAGCCACTTGCCCTTGTTTTCTTCACTCGGGTCTATGGGATGCACATCCCCATGTGTCCTAGAGAGTGGGAGTCTCATGACGTCACTCTAGTGAGGGATGGATTTGGAGGGGAGGAACAGCGCTTGAAGTTTTCCATGGAAGTCGTGTGTGAAAAGAAAACCATGTGCTTACCTAGGTACACATTCACTTAGAGAAATGGGAGAAGCTGACACAGACCAGGAGATGGATGATCCTCCTGGGCCAATTCTAGGCATTGCCATGAAACTGCGGATGACAAATCTGTCTTCTGTTCTCAACTGACCTCTTGAACTTTAATCACTAGGTCACTATTACAATTTCCAAGTGAGTGAGCTTGTGGAATACAAGAAAATTCATATTGTAGAATGTACAAAGCCTGGCCAATTATTTTATTTATTTATTTATTCATTTATTTATTGGATACAGGGTCTCATTATGAAGTTCAGACTCATAGTGCATCTCCTATC